TGCCCCAAGCTGACATCCATCCGACATCTGTGTGAATCCTTGGGGTAACTAGACACAAATTGCCATTGCTTGGTGAGGTTTCATAGATGGTGCATTCCAAAGAACATCGCCTTGTTCCCATCCGCTAACTAATTACTAAAAACAGCCCATCCATACTTGGCCTAACCACCATTCGTGAATTTAACCCTTGTGTGTCGCTTCATACAAACTCAATGCCCAATATGCACACCCATCTACAGCACCTGGTCGTCAAATGTTCCAATAATACGGGAGGTANTGTACTGCAGGCCCTTGAGAAAATGGAGCGCGATGGCATAATCACACGAGTCAAATCCAGTACGTGGGCAACGTTAATCGTGATCGCAATCAAGAGTGACGGCAAAACACCGCGAATTTGTGGTGACTACCGCTTAACACTCAACCCGCGGCTGCGAAAGTGTGCGGCTACCATCATGGAACCAGAGGATTTCCTGAAAGCATTGCACGGTAGCACATGCTTCTCGAAGATTGACTTGGCCGAGGCATACCTACAGATTCTACTCACACCAGCCTGCCGGCACTTCACCACTATCAACACACCATGTGGACTGTATCAATACAACTTCCTACCGTTTGGCCTCCACACATCCTCCAGCATATTCCAGGCGGCAACTGACGAAGTCATTCGTGGACTCAATGGCGTGTTAGCGTACCAGGACGATGTCATTGTATTTAGTGCAACGAAGGCCGAGCATGACGATAGACTTCTCAAACTACTGGAGCGGTTTGCCCAAAAGAAAGCGTCAATTTGCGCCTCCATATGCATGTTCAGCTCACCAGAATTGGAATTCCTTGGTTTCATAGTGGATGCAAAAGGCTACCGCCCTGATCCAAGTCACTTCCGCCCATTGACTGAACTCGAGTCACCAAGAGACCAAAACCAACTCAGGTCCATCATGGTATGTCTCCAATACTATTCGCGTTTCATCTCGAACTTCGCCACAAAAGCCCAACCGCTGTTTGCTGCTCAGTCGACTACGGAGTGGAAATGGACTACCAAGTGTGAACAAATTCTGCGTGAAATCATTCAGATGATAACTGAACCACCAGTACTCGCCTCGTTCTCTCCGACAAAACATCCAACTTTGATCACAGACGCATCAGATGTTGGCATTGGTGCCGTCCTCGAACAGAACGGACGTCCGATTGCCTGCATCTTCCATCTACTCAACAAAGCAGAACGAGGATATTCACAGACGCCGAAAGAAGCACTAGCTGTATATTGGGCCGTCCGTCGCCTACACAAATACCTGTTTCGATTGGGTTTCACCATCGTAACCGATCATCAAGCGTTGCAATATCTATTCAGTCCACAAAAGTCGATCTCCAAACCAACGGCGGCGATGATTCAGCGATGGAGCATTGCATTGGCTGCTTACGAATACAACATAGTGCACCGTCCGAGCAAAGCAATTCCCCAGGCCGATTTTATCTCGCTGTGGTCCAAATTCTCGAAGGCTAAGAGGTGTCATTTCATTGTTACTGCTGCCCCAGTATCCCGGGAGGAGTTGCGCCGATGTACCAAAGATACTATGCAGAAATCATAACGGCTGTATCAAAAGGATGGCGTCCCGACCTGAAGCGGAAGTTCGCAGCTTTCTATGCACACTGTGAAGAAATCAGTGTCCAACCTGACGGAATACTATGCCGCAACGATCGACTGATCATCCCACCCCCGTTACGTAAGGCAGTCCTAGAAGACCTCCTCAAAGGTCACTTAGGGGTGGAGAAGATGAAGTCGTTGGCAAGACAGATGTGTTGGTGGCCCGGTCTAGATGAAGACATTGGTCGAACTGCTACGAACTGCGAAGCATGCCTACAAAAGCGGAAGTCAAAACCGGAGAATTGGGTTTCATGACCAGAAAGCTGTATTCCGTGGCAACGTGTGCACGCCGATTTCTGCGGACCATTTCTCGGTCATTATCACGCACTAGTACTAATCGATTCATACTCAAAATGGCCTGAAGTGTTTCTAACCAGCACACCAACTACATCGTTTTTGATGAGGGTACTAAGAAAGTGTTTCAGTCGAGAGGGTGTTCCTCAAGTGTTGGTGACTGACAATGGATCGCAGTTCTGCGCGGCGGAGTTGAAAACGTGGCTAGACAGTATTGGATGCCGACATCTACGCACAGCACTACGTCACCCCTGCTCGAACGGCGCAGCAGGAAATTTGGTGAAAACAGTGAAGAATGTCATTTCCTGTGCAAATCCACAGACAATCGTAAAGTTGGAGATACTTCTAGACAACTTCCTACTGCAATACCGGAATGTTGCACATGCTACTACCAAAGAGAGCCCACCAAAACTGTCCAAAGCCAGAAGCTTACGTTCCTCACTGCGATGCGCGTATTCGACGCCACATCGACCAAATTCACTTCAAAGAAACTCCGAATTCGACTGAAGACCTTGCCGGAGAAACCCAACAAAACCTGCCCTGTGATACGCCGTCAACATCTACTGACGATCAGACGCAACAGGGAATGTCTACC